CTGGCCAAATAAGGGAGTATCCCCCTTCCCATGGGCTTAAACCTTGTTTTCAGCATGCATATACATGAGGTATTCTCCACTTTTTTCTCCATCCATTTTCTGTGGTACTGATAACATATTTTTTTTCCTTGCTTATTTTGAGAAGGAAATCATCACCAAGTGAGAAAGATCTTGGTTGTTGAGAAAATTTTCCTCTTCAGTAACATTAATAATTCATATGTAGGACATTTCTGGAGAAGGGCATGGAAAATATGCTATAAGGTTACAGAAATAATAATTTATTCATCATTATCTGGTAGTTGCTATTAAATACAAAGTAAAACCAGTGAACAAAAAATAACTAAAGAACAATTGTATGAACTTTGGACTTTCAGGTTTTCCGAAGGTCGATCAAATTCAAGGCTGACTAACTGCCTGTATTCTTTTTTTGTCTGAACAGTCTCAAGTCTCAGGAATCGGTCAAGCAACACCTAAACCCCCTGAAGCTGTTATTTACCTTGGAGAACATCATGTCTAACAACAGCATTATTGTAACTGATGGAGGAGACTTTGTAGGCACTGCAGCTTACATTCTCAGGTACTGACAAAGCCTAGGGTTAGCTTTGTTGAAAGTAATGCAAAATTGCCCTCTCAGAAATTTTGGCAGGAAACAGTTTCATTGTTAGATGTCATGTGATATCAGATTTACCAAGAGTAACCAGCTATATATAACAATAGATCTTATTTACCTTTACATATTATATATTCTGTGCACCAAAACTACTTTAACCATCTCTCCGTACAAATTTACTGATTATTACTAATTTCCTCATTTTACTTGTAGGCCTCGTGGTCCATTGACATGGTTAGATCCAGGAGCATTTGGAACCCTTGGAGTGGGTGGGGGATTTGCCTTGGGTGCCAAGCTGTGCCGACCTGAAGCTGAAGTCTGGGTCATTTATGGAGATGGCTCTTTAGGTTATAGTGTTGCTGAATTTGATACTTTTACAAGGCACAAGGTACTATAATAGTTTTTAATTAAATCCAAACAAGATCATCAAAGTAAAAGACACAATTTACAGGGTGTTCACTAGGCAGTGGAGATTGGAGAATTCTCCATTAATTTTACTACCCAGAATTCTCTGGCTAACATTGAGTAGCCTCTGACTATTTTTTATTCAGACATGGAGCCTCTTTCAAAATATTCTCCTGTAACATTAAACTTTTCTCCTGCTACTAGAATTCTTAGTGAAAACCCTGAACTTATCTTCTGTGTATTTATTTCTTCATCCCCGGGTTCCAAGATATGAAATTGTTATAATCATTTCATATGTTTCTGTTAGCAAAATGAATTCTTGAAACCAATTTTTTCAATGAAATTGAAGTTGACATCAAATTATGGATTTTTTATAAGTTAGTTTTATTAGTTAATTGTTGCTGATTTAGGCATGCGATATATATTATATTATTTCTTTTTTTAAATTGATTTCAGACGCCAGTCATTGCTCTTGTTGGTAATGATGCCTGTTGGTCTCAAATTGCTCGTGAGCAAGTTCCTATGTTTGGTTCTAGTATAGGATGTGACTTAGAGGTAAGCTTTTTCTTATCTCCTAACCTCCCACCTCCCACCTCACAAACCAATTACTGGTACTGTCTTTAGCAATATAGTCCCTTAATTAATCTCTTTAGAGGTATTAGAGCTAGCAAAAAATGCAAGGACACATGATGTAATCACCTGTAGCAAAAAGAGGAGACATGTATAGTGAAGAGAAGGTCCTTTGCCTTCATTAAATGCCCTTGCTTTAGCAGCGTGACTCTAAAAATGCAATTGTTCTTTTTTCTTGTGTGTTTTTCGTGTGTTCGTGTGCCAAAAGGGGGCTCATGGTCCTAGGCATTCCAAGTGGAGACTATGGAAACTTGGAATAAGAATCGCAGTGTGACTGGTGCCATGCATGTTTTGTGAAGAAAGCTTAGGAAAGATTAATTGGTGCGAAGTATGTCAAGCTTTTCCAGAACGGGTTCTTCCACGGATTATATCGCTTGAAAGTGTTATTACTTTGGAACAGGTGAATAGTTCAGTGGTCAAAAAACAGGAGAATCTTAATAAACAGAAGGCTTATTGGTCAGGTGTTGCAAACTTTCGTTGTAGGCAAAATGAGTCTCTGCTGCGTTCTGATTGGTTCAGCTACTACTAGGCTATATGTTATAGCCCACTAGTAGCGAAAAGCGCAGGCCTTTGGCACCAAAAAAGGATAAAAGTCTAGCTTTACTACCTAAAAGTTTTTTATTCCCAAGATTTTTTACCAACTAGTTGGATTTTACTATAGCCTCACGGCCTCTGAGTCGATAGCCCATTCGGCCTTCAGCCTCGCGGGCTATTGACTCAGAGCCCATTCGGGCTCGAGGAATAATTGTTAATTATTGGTCACACTGATACCCCTGTTGAAACCCCTACAGGTTCAATGTGTGGTTAGAATTTGAAATACCCAGAATAATGTGTAATTTACTTTATATTATTTCTAAGACCTCTTTTTTCCCTGTAGTTTACAAACTATCATGTAGTAGCTGATGGATATGGTGGTAAAGGCCTGTTGCTTAGTAACTCATCCACAGCTGAGATTGATTCAACACTATCAAGAGCTCAAGACCTTGCAAGAGATGGGACTGCAGTGCTGATCAATGCATTGATTGGAAAAACTGACTTTAGAGAGGGTTCAATTTCAGTCTAGAAAATAGCTTTAAATATCAATATTTTTAGCATTTAAAATGAAGTAGCTAATAAAAAATAGTAAAACACCATCATAGTTAGATCTGAGGTTGCACTTTCATATTTTTAGAATTTTTAATACCAGCATGTTCATTGTATTGCTCAGTTTTCATTTCTTTACTGACGACATGAAAACCTGAAATTGTGACTTGTGATGTATTGATCGAGAAAATTGGTTGTTAAATCATGTTGCTAGTGGTTAAAGGTCAGCCATGAATTTAACATGGGCAGACTTAACTAAGCTGTCACATTATAAAGTACACTTTATCAGCAGTTAAGAAAAACGTGTTAATCAAGAAATTATAATTATAATTACATTAGTTTTAAAGAAGTGCATAACCATATAGATGAGGTTGGAAGGAACTGAAAATTTTTGGCAAGTAATTTACCAGATAAATTACTAAGTGCTATTTTCCAGCAACTCCTTCAATGTTTAGGAGCTTAAAGCTGACTTATAATCTATTGATCAAGAAAATTGGTTAATAAATCATGTTGCTATTGGTTAAAGGTCAGCCATGAATTTAACATGGGCAGACTTAACTAAGCAGTCACATTATAAAGTACACTTTATCAACAGTTAAGAAAAAAGTTTTAATCAAAAACTTATAATAATTATTATTACATTATCACGGAGATTATTACATTATCACGGAGGGTCGTGGGTTCAAATCCCATCTGGGACTCGGATTTTTTTTCCGAGTCCTCCTCAAATTAATATCATGTTGTTGTTGTTTCATCTTTAATATACTTACATTAGTTTTAAAGAGGTACATAACCATATGGATGAGGTTGGAAGGAGCTGCAAATTTTTGGCAAGCAATTTACCAGATAAATTACTAAGTGCCATTTTCCAGCAACTCCTTCAAAGTTAAGGTGCTCAGAGCTACAATAAGAGGCTTGGGCACCTGACATCTCAAGGACCTTCTTTGTATTGGAAATCGCAGCTTCAATAAAAGGGAGCTTAAGCAACTGCAATGGCAATGGCAAGAGGAACATCAAAAAAGCAATAAGCTTAATAAGCAAAATAACACCTCTGAACGTACAGCACACGTTTTGGTACATAATTTTACTCATGCACTTATCCATGTTTTACTGTACCACTGCATTGAATTCCTTAAATTCATATATTCTATTAAAGAGCAACATTGTTTGGAAAAAGGGGAATATTATACTTTGTAAGTGATGGTTTCACTGTTGTTGCCATCATGGTTGTTAAAGCTGCCCAACAACAGAAGAGTCTCAGAGGTTTTTTTGTCATGTAATGGATTTCGATGTATGGCCATTAAATTTGACACTGGCTGTCACCTGACAAAATTTCAAAAGATTCTTGGCTTATTTTAGTCGCTTAAGGTTGATTTCCACTGACATGTTTTTGGCTACGCACGTTAAAGCACATAAATTTTAATCACGTAAATAGAACAGAGGCAAGATAAAAAGTGACGAGCTTAAACGAGAAGTTGAGCGAGGTTTAAGTTCTACTCTTTGGAGAGACCTTGCATGCACTGTCTCTATTTTATTTGTGAACGTAAATTTTACGCACATATGCACATAAAAATTACACGACCCTGATCTGCTGCCATTCTGAACTGTATGGAGGAAGACCAAGGGATAACAAAGTGTTGGATACTTAGGACACAGTAGCACTTGTATCACATTATTACTGAGTAACGATTCAAGGATTTATTGATTTAATTAAATGAAGTAGATATTAATCCTGAGATTATCAACTTAGTACAAATTATTTATTAATGATAATAGAAAATAAAAATACATTTTTGATTCTAAAACTTCTTGTTGAGGTGTTTTGTTATTAAGCACATGGATAGAAATATTCTGGAGAATAACATTAATTGACATGAAATGTTGATGTGTGGAGAAAGGATTGAGTCATCTTTGTATTGTTAAGAGTACATTGCATTCCAACTCACCATACTTATAACAACTGGTTTATAACTATACCTTTTGACTTAAGAGAGGCTGAGTGTAAATGTATGTGAAACTGAAACTGTGCTATCTTCTTGTAACTTCTCCAGAACCAATTCTTCACGGGAGGAAAAATATGCTTGTCTTTGTAATCATGACCTAACAGATTCAGTACCGAAGCAAAGTTAAAATTAATGCTCCTGGACAGTTGTATATTGCTGAAAAAATTTGTACTTTGTTGTAATGTTGTCCTAGTCGTTGATTCTGATTAATCTCTTCTCTTTGCCAGAAGTAGTCATGAATATGAATATAATTTATTATAATTCTGTTTGCCCATCTTCCTTGCACTCTGACAGTTAATCTTGCTTAGATGTGCACATTAATTCCTCGCGGCTTAGAAAACTAAATCTTGCAGTTCTGTTATCTCTTGGTTGATTTAATCTTCCGTAGATCAGCTTTGGACAAACGCTGGACACCAGCTTTGAATTTTCCAACTGATGCTTCTAAGCCCTTGGATGAGTTGTCAACCCAGCGACCCAAAGAGGATCTGTAAGCCAAGATATGCAACAAAAAGACCATTAAACTATTTACAAGAAACCCTGGGGGTGGGGTTGGGGCAGTGGGCCGAGGTCCAACCCTTTACCCATTTGTGTACCACTTTTGGCAAAAAGCCACCCTTTTCATATACCTTCCATTGAGAAAAGGTGCCTCTTTCACGTAAGTCTTCTTTTCACTAAATGGTAGGTTTAAAAAACTGGTATGGCTAGATAGGTTGCGTCAGTTAAAAATATTAAATACCTAAAATGACAGATTTCCCTTTCCTATACTTCAACTCTTGAAAATCCTACCCTTTCATATAACTGAAGCCTGAAACCTATGCACACTTAAGCTGCATTTTGGGACTCTAGCTGGTAAGCAGAGCGAACAAGTTGTCATTTTGTAAGCAGCACTTTTCAAGCTCTCGAACAACAAGGTGCTTACAATGCCCACTTTTTTGAGGGAGAGGTACAAGACTTCAAAGACAACAAAGAACGAGTGAATTTACTGCTTTGCAATAAGTAGAAAACTAAGCAAACTAAGTCTTGCTGCTGGACTAGAAAAGTACATTCAAGTCCTGTCATAGTTAACAATATTCATTGACTATACAAACCTTGTTGAAGCTTTGTTACTTTTATCCGGTTTCTTTTTGAAGATGCCCATTGCATGTTCCTTTGGAATTAACATAAACAAAATACCACATTAAATATGAACGTCAAGTAATATAGTTACACAGTTACGGTAACCCCTAATTTTGGAGCGCATTTTGTCCAAGTTTCAAAAGGTGGTAAAGGTTGTATAAGGCCCTAGCCCATATTCCAATATCTTACTGACAATAATAATAATAATGAATTTAAATATTCCAATGCCTAATGTTACAGTAAGTAAGAAGATACTTAAATGGGCAATGAACTGAATTTCCTACTGCACCTTAAACTTTGGTGTAAGGGGGGGAACTTCTTTTCCCAAAATTTTCTTTAAAAGTAGTAATAATTATTTCTTACTCTTTCCCTTTGTTCTTTCTCTTGTTCCTTTCTTCTTTTTATTTGACGCATCAACATTGGATAAGGCATTTTTTGTCCTTTAGGAGCCTTAAACATTTAAATGTTGTCAGCAGATTGGAATAATAAATAAATTGTTATCTAAATTCTAAACAGGTATTAAAGGTGAGGAAATATATAACAGGTACTGTGGAGGAAGTAAGAAACTCATTCAATGTAGGCCTATTAACAAAATAACTCATATTTGTACCACATGCAACTAATTATGCTTTAAATGTCTAGAAACCCACATTACTAAAACCCCTTGTTACTCTAAGGAAGAAAATTTCCCAATAGGGGCCCATTTCTCAAAAGTCCTGGGAACTTTTCGGGCCTGAAGCTAAAAATAATAAAGAATAAATGCTCATGTTGTATCTGAAAAACCAGTTCATTATTTTTGTTTTGTTGACAGATGGTTTTATCACTTTATTTATCTGCAAAACCATTGAAACCATATTACTGAAACCTCAATCTTCAATTTACAGAAAACAGCTTTCAGGGCCCAGTAATAACCGGGACTTTCAAGAAACGGATCCCTGGGGCTCAAACTTTAGTACAATTCACAGGATTTAACAATATTTCATCAGCAATGCTAAAAATTTTAGAGATACAATAATTATTAAACAATATGAGCTCAAAGGTGCCTTATATGCCACTTATCAATAAAACTATCACAACATTGCTCAGGGGCTAGTAAAAAAGTGTTAAATATTCTAGAATAATTATAAGAGCACTCTTAGTTGCTGAAGGTAGAAGATTATTTAAAACATGTCCCTACTTTCCCACCAAGAGCTTGTGCCTTTTGGTCTTCATATTTTCTTCTTTCTTTTCTACTCAGGCCAGTTACACCTAAAATATAGCAATTTAGTAGAATATGCTGTTAGCTTGGGCAGGAAGGAAGGTGGCAGTTGACAACCTAGTTTGAGCAATTGTCAAATGACCAATAGTAAGAACTAGAGCAGTGCTGCATTTCTGATCAGTCACACTTATGTAAAGTTGTATCCATCTCGCGTGTTTGCTTAATTCAAGCAGGTATGCCCCAGAAATCAACCTCAGCCATTGTGAGAAAATGTGAGAAGCCCTCAAATTTATCAATACATTTATCCGAAGATTTGCAACGGATTGCCGCCTGGTGTTGCACACACAGCTTGCTGATAAATCCAGATAAGACTAAGTTATTGCTTCTTGGAACCCCGTTGTTGATGTGTGGAGAAAGGATTGAGTCATCTTTGTATTGTTAAGAGTACATTGCATTCCAACTCACCATACTTATAACAACTGGTTTATAACTATACCTTTCGACTTAAGAGAGGCTGAGTGTAAATGTATGTGAAACTGAAACTGTGCTATCTTCTTGTAACTTCTCCTGAACCAATTCTTCACAGGAGGAAAAATATGCTTGTCTTTGTAATCATGACCGAACAGATTCAGTACCGAAGCAAAGTTAAAATTACTGCTCTTGGACAGTTGTATATTGCTGAAAAACTTTGTACTTTGTTGTAATGTTGTCCTAGTCCTTGATTCTGATTAATCTCTTCTCTTTGCCAGAAGTAGTCATGAATATGAATATAATTTATTATAATTCTGTTTGCCCATCTTCCTTGCACTCTGACAGTTAATCTTGCTTAGATGTGCACATTAATTTATTCGTGGCAGCTTAGGAAACTAAATCTTGCAGTTCTGTTATCTCTTGGTTGCTTTAATCTTCCGTAGATCAGCTTTGGACAAACGCTGGACCCCAGCTTTGAATTTTCCAACTGTTGCTTCTAAGCTCTTAGATGAGTTGTCAACCCAGCGACCCAAAGAGGATCTGTAAGCCAAGATATGCAACAAAAAGACCATTAAACTATTTACAAGAAACCCTGGGGGTGGGGTTGGGGCAGTGGGCCGAGGTCCAACCCCTTACCCATTTGTGTACCACTTTTGGCAAAAAAGCTACCCTTTTCATATACCTTCCATTGAGAAAAGGTGCCTCTTTCATGTAAGCCTTCTTTTCACTAAATGGTAGGTTTAAAAAACTGGCATGGCTAGATAGGTTGCGTCAGTTAAAAATATTAAATACCTAAAATGACAGATTTCCCTTTCCTATACTTCCAACTCTTGAAAATCCTACCCTTTCATATAAATGAAGCCTGAAACCTATGCACACTTAAGCTGCATTTTGGCACTCTAGCTGGTAAGCAGAGGGAACAAGTTGTCATTTTGTAACCAGCACTTTTCAAGCTCTCAAACAACAAGGTGCTTACAATGCCCACTTTTTTGAGGGAGAGGTACAAGACTTCAAAGACAACAAATAACGAGTGAATTTACTGCTTTGCAATAAGTAGAAAACTAAGCAAACTAAGTCTTGCTGCTGGACTAGAAAAGTACATTCAAGTTCTGTCATAGTTAACAATATTCATTAACTATACAAACCTTGTTGAAGCTTTTTTACTTTTATCTGGTTTCTTTTTGAAGATGCCCATCGCATTTTCCTTAGGAATTAACATAAACAAAATCCCACGTACAGTAAATATGAAAGTCAAGTGATATTATAGTTACACGGTTACGGTAACCCCTAATTTTGGACTGCATTTTGTCCAAGTTCAAAAGGTGGTAAAATTTGTATATAAGGCCCTGACCCATATTCACATATCTTACTGACAATAATAATAATAATGAATATTCCCTGGCTAATGTTACAGTAAGTAATAAGATACTTAAATGGGCAATGAACTTAATTTCCCACGGGCACCTTAAACTTTGGTGTAAGAGGGGAACTTCTTTTCCCCAAATTTTCTTAAAAAGTAATAATTATTTCCTACCCTTTCCCTTTGTTCTTTCTCTTGTTCCTTTCTTCTTTTTATTTGACGCATCAACATTGGATAAGGCATCTTTTGTCCTTTAGGAGCCTTAAATATTTAAATGTTGTCAGGAGATTGAAAAAAATAAATAAATTGCTATCTAAATTCTAAACAGGTATTAAAGGTGAGGAAATATATAACAGGTACTGTGGAGGAAGCAAGAAACTCATTCTATGTAGGACTATTAACAAAATAATTCATATTTGTACCACATGCAACTAATTATGCTTTAAATGTCTAGAAACCCACATTACTAAAACCCCTTGTTACTCTAAGGAAGAAAATTTCCTAATAGGGGCCCGTTTCTCAAAAGTCCTGGGAACTTTTCGGGCCTGAAGCTAAAAATAATAAAGAATAAATGCTCAGGTTGTATCTGACAAACCAGTTCATTATTTTTGTTTTGTTGACAGATAGTTTTATCACTATATTTATCTGCAAAACCATTGAAACCATACTACTGAAACCTCAATCTTCTGGGTAAAGAAAACAGCTTTCAGGGCCCAGTTATAACTGGGACTTTCAAGAAACGGATCCCTGGGGCTCAAACTTCAGTACAATTCACAGGATTTAACAGTATTTCATCAGCAATGCTAACAAATTTTAACGATTCAGTTAAAAATATGAACTCAAAGGTGCCTTATATGCCACCTGTCAATAAAACTATCACAACATTGCTCAGGGGCTGGTAAAAAAGTGTCAAATATTGTAGAATAATAAGACCACTCTTAGCTGACGAAGATAGAAGATTATTTAAACATGTCCCTACCTTTCCACCAAGAGCTTGTGCCTTTTGGTCTTCATATTTTCTTCTTTCTTTTCTACTCAGGCCAGTTATACCTAAAATAATAGCAATAGCAGAATATGCTGTTAGCTTGGGTAGGAAGGAAGGTAGCAGTTGACAACCTAGTTTGAGCAGTCAATATTGTCAAATGACCAACAGTAAGAACTGGAGCAGTGCTGCATTTCTGATCAGTCACGCTTACGTAAAATTGTATCCATCACACGTGTTTGCTTATTTCAAGCAGGTATGCCCAAGAAATCAACCTCAGCCATTGTGAGAAAATGTGAGAAGACCTCAAATTTATCGATACACAGATCGAAAAGCCTGGTCATTGGGTGCAACAACAATTCAAACATAGACTGAACGTCAGAAATTGTGTAATCATTTACCATTATCAATATGTCTAAGAATAGCTTACTGTGTTTTGTGTTGCATGTTCTATTGAACTGTATTAATTAGAGAGGAGAGCGCAAATGAACGGTACTGCAATACCATGATGAAGGATCTTGTTCTACCAAATACTGTCAGCCAAAAGGATGAAAAACCGCATACCGCAGGGCTAGATGATACTGTAACAGCCCACATTTAAATCGAAATTACAGAAATACTGCTTGAAAAAAAGCTCAAATGTAAACCCCAATGTGCCCCTCAGAGAGGTTTTTTGTCAAAATTGTCTAAATTCACATCACCAAGACATGAGCATGTGCATTTTTCAGCCACTTAAGGTGGGTTGTTTGGATACAGGGCTTGAAAAGGTCATGTCCAGTAGTCCAGGACAAGTAGATTTTTTGCTGAGCTCTGTTGGGTACCTAATAAAACACTATGTGAGGGCTCTTAAGCTCCCGATAACTCATTAGTATGGTAATGTTTTTTCACTTTCAAATGTTTATATTGAATTTCTATCGTTCATATTAGATTTTATTGTAATTGGTATGTGAAAACCCATTTTAATTGGATGTACCAATAAAGTTGATTTGATTTGATTTTAATACACTGGTCGAAAAGCCTGGTCATTGGATGCAATAACAATTCAAACATAGATTGAATGTCAGAAATTGTGAAATCATTTACCATTATCAATATGTCTAAGAATAGCTTACTGACTGTTTTTTGTTGCATGTTCTATTGAACTGAAATAATTAAGTAGAGAGGAGAGCACAAATGAACAGTACTGCAATACTATGAAGGATCTTCTTTTACTGAATACTGTCAGCCAAAAGGATGAAAAACCACATACTGCAGGGCTAGATGATACTGTAACAGCCCACATTTAAATTGAAATTACAGTCGCTGAAATACTGCTTGAAAAAAAAGCTCAAATGTAAACCCTAATGTCCCCCTCAGAGAGGTTTTTTGTCAAAATTGTCCAGATTCAGATCACCAAGACATGAGCATGTGCATTTTTCAGCCACTTAAGGTGGGTTGTTTGGACACAGGGCTTGAAAAGGTCATGTCCAGTAGTCCAGGACAAGTAGATTTTTTGCTGAGCTCTGTTGGGTACCTAATAAAACACTATGTGAGGGCTCTTAAGCTCCCGATAACTCATTAACCAGGTTAGTCCCAAGAGTGACTAACAAAAATAATTTTCTCCTAACATCATCACATCAACAAGAGAATAGATTATGAGAATAACTAAAAAGATCGCTGACGGGAAATGCAGTGATCTTTTATCAAACTATCTCAACTAGTTCATTATGTTAAGGAAATGTACCAAGATCAGTCTGGAGAATTTGTATGTGGATATTGGGGCTAAATGGCCCAAAGGATTTAGGGCAGGTTGGCCTAGTCCATTTTAGTTTATGTCTATTTACAGTCAGGTTCAGAAACTTCATGTGCAAAAGGTATAATAGAAACAAAATCTGGAAAAATAAAAACCAAATGAAAATCATCAAATTAACATAAAATATAAATTCCACTCACCAAATTCTTTCACTTCTCTGGCAATAGATTGAAAGTCAATCTCATCAAGATCTTGTCTAGAAAACATTTTTTAAAAAACCAAATTTAGTTGAATTTATAATAAATGGCCACATAATCTGACACTTACATGTACAATTACTGATAAGTAATGACAGAGTTCCACATTATTAGTATTTAAGAACATTTCGAACTGTTTACCTTGATGGTTTGTCCTTATCTTTTGATTGTTTTCTTTCGATCTAAACAAAATTTATGAGATCCATTTTTATAATGAGACATGCTATGATTAACTTTTATAAATAAAGAACATAATATAAATTTAAATGATACAACATACAGGTGGTCCAGCTTTTGTCTTTTTTCTTTGTTTCCCTGGTTCAACAAATTCAATAACTTTGGGTGGTGGGCGTTTCCTTGCTATATTACCTTGTGAATCTGCAATGTAAAAAGTAATAATACTGCTTCAAGAGTTTCAGTATCTGTAGTATGTGAAAATTACAGAATGTCGATCAGCAGCAATTCTTGGTAGGAGTTTCAGCGCTGTGTTGAATGCTGTCAGGATAACTTTCATTTTACTGCCATTCGGCCCGCTGGATACTAGCTCCCTATTTTGAAGACATTTAGCCCCTCTTGAACACTTGTTTCAACAGTTTCATCACAGAAGTGATAGTTTCAATATAAACAGTACCTCATTTAGTTTAACCTATGAACTATACAAGAGATAACAATGAACTTGACAACTAAGGTGTAATAAATTTCAAACTGGCAACAGATTGCCTCACCAACATACATTGTATATTTCAGTCAGTATACACTGTGTATTTTTATTTTTAGTCATGCCCCTGTCAGTTTGTGCGCTAAGTAAACCTTTTATGTCAATGAAATTGTTGTAAATGAATAGTAAGCCAGTGATTTTGTTATAAATAACAATGGTGAAAAATCATGAGTCCAAGTCGAGAACCAATGAGTCCCAGTTTAAAAAACGAGTATGAAATTGAAAATGCTCAGGTCTTTATGTAACCACACAGTTAATCTGAAGACAGATTCCAAAACTCTGTATTGCAGTATGCTAAAATTAATATATAGTCTTTCTATTTCAAAGCACAACAAAGGCTGAAAGAAATATGCATCGTTAAACAACAGCTATAATAACTGCCACAGAAATTACAAGAACAGGATATTTCTACAAAAACAAATGTTCAGATCAATCGATCGACCTTTGCATCCTACAGGACGCCAAATTTCTTTATCTTTGGGGGCTTAATGACTGAGGCTAAAACTAAATGTCACTAAAAGATCAGGTGGCTCAATGACTGGTTACCGAACTTTTGTGGCCTAGTAATGAATCATCAGTACTGTGTGGTAAAATTTGAATACATGTAGGCCATGTAGCCTTTATTTTTTTCGGGCATAACTAAGAAATAATTTATAGAAAAAAAGGTTGGTTTTAGTTTGGCAGCTACGTTTGCTAGACATTGACAGGTTTACAAAAACACATCATTTCCCTCAACAATCGATCGTAACTTTATCTGTAAGCGGCTTAGGTTTAAACATGGATAATAGAAAGTCTTTCTATTATCCATGGTTTAAACCATCTCTACGCTAAGTCTAGTTCACTTTTACTGGTGAAAAAGCGTCTGTAACAGATCAACTTAAAGGGTAATTTCAACCATACCGTACCTTTATTGATGCCTCTTGAATTAAAAATGTTTTCTATATCGTCCAATCGTCCTGTAGCCATGTTATCTCAGGATAACTCAACGAAAAGATAATGGAAGATAAAATCCCATGCCGGCCGCCATATTGGAAGTGGTTAGCTGGGGAAACTGGTGCCAAGTTTCCATTTTCAGGGCGGAAAAACGTAATGAGCATGCGTGAACTTTTTTGCCCAGATCCCCTGGCCGGGTTTGAAAAAATGGCGGGATTTCAAATATTTTATTGCCTAAAAATAAGATGTTTCCACTCATAACCTGGAAAGAACAGGCAATTTGTCTTCAAAAGTTGCAAGCTGTGGTTATAACCTTGTCGTTACTTAATTTTCTCGAAGAATACCTCATAGTAAAACGGACTTTAACGGCATCAATTCCTTGCGTTGTACTGGAAATGTGCATGCGTAGGTCCGATTTTTTTCAAGATGCATTCACAAAATGTGTTCATATAAAGAAGTTCCTGGATATATAAGGTCCGGAGCTCCACTGTGGACACAAAAACAACATATCTTTGGACAGTGATTTGCCCAAAAAAATTAACGCTTGCCCCTTGTGTTTGAAGGCACTGAACTTGTCGCACTCGAGCTGATATTTTAAAAGCCTCGCTCGATCGGACACTCGTAGTTTCGCAGATAACTAAAATATAAATAAAATCCTCAATGTAGAAGTTATTGCGTTGATATGCGGGCAGAAAAAGGTCAATCTTTATCTAGTAAAATCTTCCCAAAAATCGGTTTTAAAGCAACTATAGTTTATTTTTAAACTTGATCGTTTCGCGTACTAAGAGATAGATATAAATTATGCTTTGTGTTGTCAAGTTGGAAATGCATAACATCTGTCAAAAACCTACACGCAAGTAGGATTTCCTTCAAACAAAGTTAAAATTACATTATTGCAAAAACTTCTTGCTGACAATGAAGAAATGAAGTTTTTGTACGAAAACAACCTACCTAAAGATCTTAAAAGCAAAAGATCAGTTGCAGTGAGCTTCGCAGCTAAACCATGATTCACCATGTAGCTCTTCTCCTCGCTTTAATAACTCAGTGAATAACTGGTCCATGTGTTCATTCAAGCAAATTAAACTCAGCCAATCGTTAAAAAACTCAGAAAATTGCGCAGAACGTTTTTCCACCCTGAAGTTTCCATTCCTCTTTCGCTTTTTTGACCCTCTGCGGAAGGGTCCGGAAGGGAAACCGAACGACCAAAAATACTTGTGACCATCATAGTTCTTACTATTTTCACTAACATCACTCGAAATGATAAGCTGTAAACAGTCTGTCAAAAGGTTCTGAGGGTGAGCATAAATCGGACCCCTCCATCCAATAAAAAAATTCAGTTGTGGATCCGCCCCTCATAGATCATGTACGTGTTGCCTTTATATAGCGCCGACAAAACCGCCATGTTACGCAGGCTATTTTATAGATTCGGTATGCTGTAAATTTTGCATGATTTTTCCATGTTTTTAAGGTTGGCTCTGGCCATCATTATATATTTTCTTTGCCAGACATTAACGCGATACTTGGGCTCTTGCCCTCCGGAGACACGTGATCGGGCGCGAGCGGGTATTTTCAGCAGAGCTTCTATTTTTGTCACGCCGTCCTGTCGAGCCAAAATAATGGCGAAACAGCTGTCGAGAGCTACAATCCCGCTCTGTTTTGGGTTCTATCGGTGTCGTGTTCATGTCTTGCAAAGTTATTTTCAAGTAGTACGATCAGCATTGCAGAATTCACAATGTTCCTTCTTGGTATATTTTTGCAGATCAGGTCTTCTTTAGATCCTACGTTTTGTTGCTTATTCGTTTAATTTGTGGTCCTTTGCAGTTAATATTCCCTTAGAAGTGGTGCTTGTAGTAAATGTGACATTTGCCATTGTCTTACATGTAGGGGACGGACAGACGTACGGACGGTCAAGTGATTACCAAAATTTCTCGCATTTATGGGTTACCATTCTTCTTACTCATGATGCTCCGTTGCGCGGGCATTGCGCGCGCTGGAGCTCCGCTATAACGGCACTCAAATGGCAGCTTTCAACCCACGCACAAAGCGAGAATAGAAAACAACTAAGAGACTATCTGTAGAACTGGGAAGGTGGAATGTCCAGACAATGTTGACGGCCTTTCCGTGAACCTTGACGTCATCACCGACTCAGAAATATCTCATGAGGTCAAGAGACGCAAATAGTGCCTTAACACTGCTAGCTTACGCAGGCACACTAAACGGGAAATACTACATATTCTATTGACAGGGGAAAAACGCTGATGAGTGGGGAGAGAATGGGATAGGCTTTGTTGTGAGAAATAGCGTGCTGAGTATGGTTCAAACGGGGAGCAAGGACTCAGAGCGATTCCTGGTTCCCCTCCTGAACACAGCTGAAAGCCCAGTCACTAGCGCCAGAGTCTATGCATCAAAACGGTCGGCCACGTTAGATGGCAAGAATGAGTTTTACGAGAACCTCACAGCCATCATCGGGAGTATCCCAAGAAAGGAACAGATTCTTCTACTGGCTGATTTCAACGCCAGAGTGGGTGCATATCACGACTTAGTTTGGCCCTCCTGGCTTGGCCAGTTTAGTACAGGAAAAAAGAACGATAACGGAGAGCGGATGCTTGAGATGTGCACCTACCATGGCCTGTAAATTACCAACTCCTGCTTCAAAACCAAGCCTCAGCTCAAGGTTTCCTGGAGCCAAATGCGTTCATAACACTGGCATCAGCTGGATCTGATCCTGGTGAGCCATGACGACCTGAAGAACGTCCTTCAGACATCTTCTTTCAACAGCGCGGACTGCAACATAGACCACTCCTTCAGGTGTTGCAAAATCAGGCTCAACGTCGGCAAATTAAAATGCTCCAGCCTGACTTGGTACAACAGTCTGCCGATGTGTTTTAGAAGGAACGCGATGCCTCAAAACCTGGTTACTTTAGATGCCACACAGAGGTGCATGGGAAATCTTGCCGTGCACGGTACACCATACACGGTACAGCGCTATCTACCTTTAGGAAGAGGACCTTGAAGGCACACGAATGGCTTGACGCCAAGTCGACCGAGATGACTCCCGTCATCGGAGCCACGTTCATCGTCCCTGCCGAGAGTAAGTTGTCACCCGACGAAAAGAACCTACAAATTCTCACGGCCGCCAGGAGCAAGGTCCATGCAACAGACTGCCAGGTGCTGCACTAGCGAGTACTGGACGAAGCTCAGCAAGAGCATCCAGACTACTACCGTTACAGGAAATATTAGAGGAATGTACGATGGCATCAAGAAGGCACTAGGACCAGCTCAGAACAATGCACCAACATAAATGCACCAGTGGGGAAGTTATAACGGACAAAAGTTCAGCAGCTAGAGAGATGGGTGGAACAGTACTCCGACCTCTTCTCCAGACAGAATTCTGTTTCCCCATCAGCTCTCGCGCGACTCCAGCGTATGCCTGCCTATCATGGATGAGCTAGACGCAGAGCCGACAGTAGAGGAGCTAAGCAAAGCTGTTGACAGTTTGGCTTCAGGCAAGACCCTAGACAACGACTGGTTTCCTAGTCTCAGTGAAGTATTGCAATACTACTCTCTTTCTCGCCTTGTATGAGATCATGTGCCAATGCTGGCAGGAGGGTGAAGTATCGCGGGATATAATGGACACCATGCACGATCTGTCATAACCCCCTACAAAAAAAACACGATTCAAATGACTGCGAAAACTACAATGAGATCTCCCCCCTGAGGATTGTCGCCAAAGTCTTTCTTCATCTTGATCCGCTTTCAGAAGCTGGTAGAACGTGTCTATCCCGAGTCACAGTATGGCTTCCCAACTGAGTAGCCAAAGGTAGGCAGGATCTTTTCAACTTCAGAAGAAGCGCAAGGAACAACACATGTTCATGTGCGTCGTTCACATTGACCTCACTAAGACCTTCGACCAGGTCTACAGAGAGGGCTCTTTCAAGATCCTGTCAAAGATCGGATGTCCTCCAAAAGTGCATTACATTATAGGATCCATGTACACCACATGAAGGGATGAAGGGGGCGATTGGCTGTAGGTATGTGGTGACGAAAATTCCTCACGGCTCCTCAACTTACTTCGCGTGATGGCTCCGCCTCCAAGAAAGTACATCAGATATGACAATCCCGCCAGCCACGCAGCCTACTGTCAATACCACGTCAACTGGTCACGATAGCCACAAAAGACGCTGCTCCAGCCGAGCAGACAACCAGGTCGATTAACTAGGATGCATCATCCATGGTCGCTGACCGACGGAAGCCTACTTCTTTGTACCAAAAAGTGTGATGGAAGTGCAAATTCGAATTCTTATTGTACCTATTGCTTATATTCTAGTTGTCTTCGCCGTGTTTGTCTACTGTCAAAAGGAGCAATGGTTTTTCAAGCAAAAGGAAGAAGGAAATAACAGACTTCAGTAAGTGCAGGAACGCCTGTCCATCACACTTAGTTTTCACCTTGCAGTTGGGTGGAAAAGCTGGGCTTTTCACGGTGTGTTGAACAGTGTGCTGATTATTGTGTAGGCTTAACCCATGATAGATCAGGCCTATATTACGCCGTAACCCTTTGGCCTGAAGGAATAGCTGAAAGTGCAAGGTTGAGTTTCTTCAGTAGAGTATTTAGTCGTTTCAACACTGACCAATACACACCCTGGTCTATTTATTTAAAGCCTTTATTTTATTGAAGAGGCTGAAGGAGGGAAGAGGNACATGAAGGGATGAAGGGGGCGATTGGCTGTAGGTATGTGGTGACGAAAATTCCTCACGGCTCCTCAACTTACTTCGCGTGATGGCTCCGCCTCCAAGAAAGTACATCAGATATGACAATCCCGCCAGCCACGCAGCCTACTGTCAATACCACGTCAACTGGTCACGATAGCCACAAAAGACGCTGCTCCAGCCGAGCAGACAACCAGGTCGATTAACTAGGATGCATCATCCATGGTCGCTGACCGACGGAAGCCTACTTCTTTGTACCAAAAAGTGTGATGGAAGTGCAAATTCGAATTCTTATTGTACCTATTGCTTATATTCTAGTTGTCTTCGCCGTGTTTGTCTACTGTCAAAAGGAGCAATGGTTTTTCAAGCAAAAGGAAGAAGGAAATAACAGACTTCAGTAAGTGCAGGAACGCCTGTCCATCACACTTAGTTTTCACCTTGCAGTTGGGTGGAAAAGCTGGGCTTTTCACGGTGTGTTGAACAGTGTGCTGATTATTGTGTAGGCTTAACCCATGATAGATCAGGCCTATATTACGCCGTAACCCTTTGGCCTGAAGGAATAGCTGAAAGTGCAAGGTTGAGTTTCTTCAGTAGAGTATTTAGTCGTTTCAACACTGACCAATACACACCCTGGTCTATTTATTTAAAGCCTTTATTTTATTGAAGAGGCTGAAGGAGGGAAGAGGCTGATATATTATGGCTCTCCAGTTAATGTGCAAAGTAATCAATTTTATAATCAGTTTTAGCTGTTGAGTTTTCTACACAACAAAGCCTTTTAGTATTGTATTTCATAAATTATGGTAACCATCTCTTATTTAAGTTGATTTCTTTACTGTAGGGGGATTTTCTTTAAAAAGCTATATACGAAGTAGAACCTTTTTTCTCCAGAAAACATGGACATCCGTAAGATATGTGGGACAACTTCGTTCTCAGATGCTGCGATCCTTGTATATTAATTCGCGTAAAATGAATTATAACGGACAGATAATAATCTTACAGACTTATATGAAAGACAGCCCAGATAAACTAGCTTAACTCATGTCATGCTAACATAATTATGTTAAAATAAAGACACCGAAAGTTATTGCAAAGTGACTCATTTTTTTTCTCTAGCTACTATTCAACCGTAATCGTTAATTTTGTACATCCGGAAAGAAACGCCTTTCCATCAGTTGAATGGCTTTGTCTCCAGTCAGATCAGACAGCTTAGCTTGTATTTCGCCTGGTCCGTATTTGCTGTTTGTCTGATATCTCAGGTGCGGGTTGGCACTTAGTATGACACTTTTAATGATAGAAGCTACCTCTTCAGGTGTCTGGCTTTGCGTTTGTACATTGCTATACATTTCTTTTAAAGCTGCCTTCAGCAGTTGCTGGGTTTTCTCATCAGCGCTCGAAATATCAATGCCTTCTCTCAAAAACTTTGCATTCTGGGTAAAAGAAGTCGTCACTGGCCCAGGCTCAATTAAGGAACACCTATAATTCAACAGAAAATCTTCAGTACTGGTCTGACTAGCCTGTAGGCTATGGTAGCTCTCCATTTCGAGTGGTGAGCGAGGCAAGGCGGGAGAGAAAGCGCGAGCGAGAGGTAGCTCGTGTACTACTGCCGCGTGACTCTCACGATATATTCCAAACAGAGAGCTAGTTCATCTGCAGGTATTTTATGTAGCCGGCAAACACAGCTCCCTCTCGTAGCTTCCAAAGGAAACGTCTATAGCTCAGGGGGGTGATGAGAGGCCGCTGTTCTTACAGGCTACATTTCATGGCGCCGTAAAGAGGCGACGATTATTTGCCCTAAGAATTCAACGTCGATATTTGAATATCTGGATTCCTTACCGTGCCCAATTTGCCTTCAAGTTAACCCTAAAAAAATATTTTACTCCTCTGCTAAGCGCATTTTCATGCATTTTTTTCCTTTTTTACCCTTCTTCTTGTCGTTGTCGTTGCTATTCTCATTTTCGCTTTAAAAAATGACAACGCGCGTCTGTTCAGTCCTCCACTCTTAAACTGATATGAGAAAGTACACATATATAGACTTTGTTAACAAGTAGTCTTGGCCGCGCACTGACATAAGAAAAAAATGTATAAGTTTGTCGTTGTTGCTGTCCTTTTAAAGTCAGAATAGCGTGAAACTTTAGTTCTTTACCTGATATCAAATTTTCTCAAGGTCGGTGCAAGGCTCTCTGTTAAACCTTCCAAAGCGAACTTGGAGGCGCTGTATACTTCAGAAAAAGGCGTTCCATTTACACCAATCACACTGCTTATATTGATAATGTGGCCCTTCCGCCTCGCTTTCATTCCTGGCAATACCGCCTTGAGCATGCGCATTACACCAAAATAGTTGGTATCAAACACATGTTGCGCCGTCTCAATTGGTATACATTCGAAAACACTCACCAGGCCTTGACCAGCATTGTTTACTAATAAGGTAAAAGAAAAATCAAATCTTTGTAAGTTGTTTTGTAACATATCTTTAGTAAAATAGCCAGCTGGCGGGATAATAATACGTTGCGATCTCAAATTTACGCGACCCCTATCTTTTACACGGCAACTATTGTCGTGATGGGTTAGAATAGGAGTAGCCTGCATAACAGGCGCTTTATGAGCCAAGCGAGGCGAACGCGGCATTTTGCGCGAAGTGCGAAACGAGTGCGAAGCGCGAGACGAGGGAAAGAGTACGCTTCGCACTTGCTTCGCGCAAAATGCCGCGTTCGTCTCGCGTGACTCATAAAGCGCCTATTAAGCAAGCTAGAATAGGAGAGGATGGAAAGACCTTGGCGCTGGATCAGGAGCTAAAACTATTTGCTTTCGGTAGGTATGTAACATTATTTATGGTGGTACCGAGACAGGAGCACAATTGAAATAGCTTCCAGGCTGCAGTTGTTCAAAAGATGGACGGACGTCCGTGGAAACAGTCTTTTTCCCTGGGAAATTATAGTTCTAAAAATAGATTAAAACGGGAAAGGGTTGACTCTACTTTATGGCAGATATGAAAGCTCCGGGGAATCGCCTCTTGCATTCACCGGCTAAATCTCCATTCAGTCACGCAATTATTTCCTCTAATAGTTATCTGCTGGATACGGATTTATTAGGTGGCTAAGGCAATATAACTTTTTATCAACCGGGGTCAGTTAATTAGTTGTATCGTTTGTTTAATAAAATAAATAAATAATAATGGAAAAGTCACGAAAAAAGCACATAAACACACAGCCGTGCACCTCTTACAGATTAAAAAAATGGAAGAAGGAGAACTAAACAACAACAAAAAAGGAGCGAATCCACTTGCATTGTTGGACTAATCAGGGGGTCTTTGATATGTTTACGGCTTGCGTTATCATTTGCGGTTTGTTGTTACATTCTTCAAATTGATGGTTGATCAAACACTGATCAGTTCTCAATCTGTTTCAAAATATGATTGACTCCTTTACTGAAAACATGTCACCGAATCACTCTCCTTTTCACGATTGCGATCTTACATAAAACCCCTAGAACTATCTTCAGCTGACTTAAAGTTCAGCTATTTTTTTTTCAGCTGTATAAAATCAAAATTCCATCGTTTTTGTTCATTTATGTTAAGGTTTTATGACCTGTTGAAATCGAATCACTCACCCAGCACATCAATCCTTCCCTCTTCCATCTCGATCTCTTTCACTAATCTGTTCACTTCTTCTTCATTGCGAACATCCAAGGCTTTAATTATCAACGACTCGCCAAGATGTTTTCCAACTGCATTTTCTAGCTCAGACTTCTTTTCAAGGTTACGCATGGTAGCATAAACCTTAAATCGCTTCACATCTTCAGCAAGAATGACGGCTGTCGAGAGTCCAATTCCAGTGGAACAACCTGTGATAAGAACGACGCGAGTTCCCACCTCAGCATCTTCATTTATCGGAGCAGTGATGGGTCGCGTGCGAGATCCTGTTAGCCCCATCTTTAGTTGCACAGCTCAGATTAAAAGTTTGTTACCAAGGTACCATTGGATTGCAACTTACGATCGACGTTAATTACATGCACAATTACAAATTTTGAAGCCCCCCACGTTAGCCTGCCTAGCTGGTGGGATTAGCGTGGGAGTGCTGTATTTTTTTGGCCGCGAGCTGCGAGAAGGATGGTTATACAAGTCAATTTGAGGGGCTGCTCGCTTCGCGTGGCAGCGGAAGAAAGTACCCCGCGCATAAGAATCCCGCCAGCTACGCAGGCTACTCTCACGTAAGCACCCGCTGCTGAATTTGTCACGCTACTACCCTTAAACTATTGTAGCTTCAAGATGGTCGAAAGAAAATTACCTCGACTAGTTTTGTTCATTTGATTACTTACCTGCAAAAATGGATTCACTTTTCTGAACACTTTACAACAATGCATTTCAATAGTTTCGGTTATAAATGTTGCTCGCTGTATGTAGAAAAATAATTCAACGATGCCGAAGAGAGAATGAGCTTCTCTCTTGACGATGAGTATCGCCATAAATATTCTTTGAAACTGCCCAGTACAAATCTAGATAGGTATGATTTCAAAGAGAAAAAAAAACAAGGAACATTGACAAGGAACCTGCCGGCGAAGCTTTACGAGCACTGAAACCCCTTGAACCCAGTTAAGAGGCTGAGCCGCGACCACGCCCAAGTCCTTCTTTAACAAGCTACAGCTGAAATATAGAACGTTTGTGCGTTACTTTTATTTGCACATGATAGTTTAAGATGCTTTTAGCCATTTCAGTTGGTGTCTCTGTGCGCTACCGATTTTTCCCACACCTATCTCAGTGGAGAGAATCGCAGGCACACGAGTCGCACACCGACCCATAGCCTGAGAACGCAGACGTATTTCCGGTCGCGGATATTTTTCACCAGAGTTTTCTGTGTTGTTACGCCATACTGACGAGCCCCAAAGAGGGCGAAACAGCTGTCTATGGCTACAATCCCTCCCTGTTTTGAGTTCTTTCGGTGTCGTGTTGATGTCTTGCAGAGTTCATTTTCACGTAGTACGACTAGCATTGCAGTATTCTGCTTGTAGAATTTAACATGCCATCCCTTCACTACCCCCGAAAGTTTAGTCAGAATACTCTGGGTTCTGGGTATGAGTTTGGGCTGGAGACCAAACCATACTCGCGCTTGAGAGTTTGGATTCGGTCGGAGCTCTCCCCTCAACCCTTATCAATCATCAGTGATCTGGGCTTTTCCTCCTTTTTCTCTGGGACTGGGTACAGAACAAACGAGGTGTGGTTTAAGCAGCATTAAACAAGGTGCTTTTATTTCGTTGACACATTTTCTATTTCCTTTCTAATCAAAACTATCCCTGCCGATCATCACTAACAATATCGAGCCAAAAGGGACAGCAATTTCGATGAGGTTCATTAAAATAGGAAATTAGATTTGCCACTCTGCCCTGGAGGTACAGTCGACTTCCGGTAACTCGAACCTCCCGCCAACTCGAAGCAATTTTCATTACCCTTCAAATCGTTTTCTATATAATTTTACCCTCGATTACTCGGACTTTTTTCTATTTCCTTTAAAGGTTCGAATTATCGGGAGTCGAATGTACTATATTAAAGGTAATGCTTTCTCTCTGAAGGGATCTGTTTCTAGCCTGCGTAGCGGGCGCTTGGAAGTAGTGGGCGAAAGAGAGAACGGGCGCGCGCGAGGGGTTTCTCCTTCTCGCGCGCACGTCTTTGTTTTTTTGTGCCCACTGCTTCCAAGCGCCTGCTACGCAGGCTAATCTGTCTCAGACAAGAGGTTTAAAAAAGGGTGGGGATTTTATAAGGAAACAAAGCATGAGCCAATAGCTCTGTAAAGCAGGCCGGCCTGGTTTACAGGGGTGATTAACCTTATATAGCCTGTGAGGCAGGCATTCAAAGGGTTAGAAGGGAGGGGATTTCAGGTGGGTGAGAAGCACAAAGGAGGGGGCAAGGGGGAGGGAAGGTTGGCCCAATTCCATTGTTCCCTTTCACTGGATACCTGGCACATGGCTTCATATAAACATTAAGAAAGCAATTTATTAGTTTAATTGATATTATCATTGTAAATTTAGGAGATAATTATTAAAAAAGTTAAGTTGTGATATTAGAAGAGCCTTTCATCTTTTTCATGTGCACATGCATGTATGCATTTTATGAGCAGTCCCTTGAGAACATCACATGCACGCGCTCGCTCGATTTAAGATAACTTGTCCGATTACTCCCTGATTAATTATTGTACTCCACTCAGTCCTATTACCATAACTAATGAAACATAATTGCCATAAATAAAAGAAGCTGACACATAATACTAATACATTGTTTTGTTTGGTATTTTAACTGGAAGAATAGGTGTCTCTTTTACAGCAGGGTTTGTTCTTGCTTGCTTGCTGTTGATATTTTAAAATTATTTCAAGAGGGGGTAGGAACTTTAAAATTATAAATGAGGTCCAGAATGACTCCCCTTACTTGTTGTGTTGTGGCTGGTTTTGTGAATGTCACATGCAATGTGCCAGTGACAAGTATATACCTCATGAATTGCATGGTGTAAAAAACAGCAGCTGTTGGCCACTGCTGTTTTTCAGAATATAAATTGGAGTGGGAGATTGATAATCAGTTGACTGAGTATATGCCAAAGATTAATAGAAGTAGCTCAAATAACACAGCTTGATCTGCTCATCTCAAAGGAGGGTTCACACAGTTTAGACATGAAATCCCCAAACACAACTGAAGAAAACATTAATCAGGGCAAAGAAACTGATAAAAATTGAAGAAAAGTTAGAATGACAGATGGAAAATGATTTTCTATTGAGCTTTATTAGAACCAACAATGCCTCTAAATCAGAACGACATTCCCAAAGTAGACAAAACTTTCTCATTCCTGGCAATACCGCCTTGAGCATGCGCATTACACCAAAATAGTTGGTATCAAACACATGTTGCGCCGTCTCAATTGGTATACATTCGAAAACACTCACCAGGCCTTGACCAGCATTGTTTACTAATAAGGTAAAAGAAAAATCAAATCTTTGTAAGTTGTTTTGTAACATATCTTTAGTAAAATAGCCAGCTGGCGGGATAATAATACGTTGCGATCTCAAATTTACGCGACCCCTATCTTTTACACGGCAACTATTGTCGTGATGGGTTAGAATAGGAGTAGCCTGCATAACAGGCGCTTTATGAGCCAAGCGAGGCGAACGCGGCATTTTGCGCGAAGTGCGAAACGAGTGCGAAGCGCGAGACGAGGGAAAGAGTACGCTTCGCACTTGCTTCGCGCAAAATGCCGCGTTCGTCTCGCGTGACTCATAAAGCGCCTATTAAGCAAGCTAGAATAGGAGAGGATGGAAAGACCTTGGCGCTGGATCAGGAGCTAAAACTATTTGCTTTCGGTAGGTATGTAACATTATTTATGGTGGTACCGAGACAGGAGCACAATTGAAATAGCTTCCAGGCTGCAGTTGTTCAAAAGATGGACGGACGTCCGTGGAAACAGTCTTTTTCCCTGGGAAATTATAGTTCTAAAAATAGATTAAAACGGGAAAGGGTTGACTCTACTTTATGGCAGATATGAAAGCTCCGGGGAATCGCCTCTTGCATTCACCGGCTAAATCTCCATTCAGTCACGCAATTATTTCCTCTAATAGTTATCTGCTGGATACGGATTTATTAGGTGGCTAAGGCAATATAACTTTTTATCAACCGGGGTCAGTTAATTAGTTGTATCGTTTGTTTAATAAAATAAATAAATAATAATGGAAAAGTCACGAAAAAAGCACATAAACACACAGCCGTGCACCTCTTACAGATTAAAAAAATGGAAGAAGGAGAACTAAACAACAACAAAAAAGGAGCGAATCCACTTGCATTGTTGGACTAATCAGGGGGTCTTTGATATGTTTACGGCTTGCGTTATCATTTGCGGTTTGTTGTTACATTCTTCAAATTGATGGTTGATCAAACACTGATCAGTTCTCAATCTGTTTCAAAATATGATTGACTCCTTTACTGAAAACATGTCACCGAATCACTCTCCTTTTCACGATTGCGATCTTACATAAAACCCCTAGAACTATCTTCAGCTGACTTAAAGTTCAGCTATTTTTTTTTCAGCTGTATAAAATCAAAATTCCATCGTTTTTGTTCATTTATGTTAAGGTTTTATGACCTGTTGAAATCGAATCACTCACCCAGCACATCAATCCTTCCCTCTTCCATCTCGATCTCTTTCACTAATCTGTTCACTTCTTCTTCATTGCGAACATCCAAGGCTTTAATTATCAACGACTCGCCAAGATGTTTTCCAACTGCATTTTCTAGCTCAGACTTCTTTTCAAGGTTACGCATGGTAGCATAAACCTTAAATCGCTTCACATCTTCAGCAAGAATGACGGCTGTCGAGAGTCCAATTCCAGTGGAACAACCTGTGATAAGAACGACGCGAGTTCCCACCTCAGCATCTTCATTTATCGGAGCAGTGATGGGTCGCGTGCGAGATCCTGTTAGCCCCATCTTTAGTTGCACAGCTCAGATTAAAAGTTTGTTACCAAGGTACCATTGGATTGCAACTTACGATCGACGTTAATTACATGCACAATTACAAATTTTGAAGCCCCCCACGTTAGCCTGCCTAGCTGGTGGGATTAGCGTGGGAGTGCTGTATTTTTTTGGCCGCGAGCTGCGAGAAGGATGGTTATACAAGTCAATTTGAGGGGCTGCTCGCTTCGCGTGGCAGCGGAAGAAAGTACCCCGCGCATAAGAATCCCGCCAGCTACGCAGGCTACTCTCACGTAAGCACCCGCTGCTGAATTTGTCACGCTACTACCCTTAAACTATTGTAGCTTCAAGATGGTCGAAAGAAAATTACCTCGACTAGTTTTGTTCATTTGATTACTTACCTGCAAAAATGGATTCACTTTTCTGAACACTTTACAACAATGCATTTCAATAGTTTCGGTTATAAATGTTGCTCGCTGTATGTAGAAAAATAATTCAACGATGCCGAAGAGAGAATGAGCTTCTCTCTTGACGATGAGTATCGCCAT